CTTTGTAGAGATGTGCTGGAGTGCTGCATGATGGCTAGATGGGGACATATTTGGCTATAAAGATATATATATATAAATATATGTATATATATATATAATCATTGTATAGAAACCTACAATGATGACCTCATATAGCACTTGACCTTCATTACAAAGTTCTTTTCAGCCCATTTTGTCCCCATCTAGCCATCATGCAGCACTCCAGCACATCTCTACAAAGATAATCAGAGTAAATCATTCTGTAGAGACTAATCAGAGCTTTCAGGTACATCCAAACATTGATGGGGCACATCTGAGGCACTGGGGTGAGGGTCAAACTGTCTCAATGGATGACTAATGCCCTAATCACTGATACACTGCCACCCAAACATTCCTTCACATTATAAACAAGCAATTTCCACTCTGAATAAATTAAGCATTTCTTTCCAATCTCAAAGACTCCCTGTCTTGTCTGTTGGACTCTCCTGCTTCATTATTTGCTGCCACACTGATGTTTAAGGTCAAAGAACAAAACAGGAGCAGACTTTATTCTTTCTTTTTGTAGCTTCTGTTTGTCACAAATGCTTTCAGGCATGTTATTCTGTGCAGACAGAAACCACTTTGATGGTTCAATTGTTTGATTTCAGAAATACTTCCGCATTTTAGACTCCTCCACTAACCTTTGAAGTTGATAAAGTGAAGTTGGAATATGCTCTGATGAGAGATTGTTCAACTCGTCCTTAATGCTTGTTTCTGTGCTTCAGTCTGCAGACACCACGGCTCTGAGCCACACCGTCACCAGCCTCAAACCAAACACCATGTATGAGTTTGCCGTCATGGCCACCATAGGTCGCAAGTCCAGCACGTGGAGCATGACGGCGCATGCCACCACGTACGAAGCAGGTACCCCCCCCCCCCCCACACACACACACACACACACACACACACACACTCCCAGGCTAGAGTTAGAGCTGAGGAGAAACCTGAAGCAGCATAAACCTGCTCCTCTGAAGGCTTTAAATAAAGAAACACACAGCAACTTTGTAGCAGAAAAAGATAAGCTGCAGAATTAACTGTAAATATTTAAAACAATGTAAGGAAAAGAAAAACACGATACGGTTCAGTTACCCCATGCACCCCCATGCCTCTACCAGCAACACAATGACTATCTGCAACAACTGCATCCAAAATGTCATGCTGTACTTTCAGGATGTAGACAATCATGTTTGGCGGATTTGTCACCCAATTAAGTGTGAACAGCATTAGTCCAGCGGTCCCCCGAGGCCCTTTGGAATACGTTGACATTCAGAGTGAGCAGACAGACTGGGCTTGCTTGGTCCTGGCGCTCCGACCCACTCAGAAGGCACAAACAACAAGCGCATTCTCACTGCAACAGATAAGAGACGGATCTTTGTTGCAGCTTGTAACCCTCAACCACATCAAGTCCCAAACACACCTGTTGACATTCGAACAATGGACATAACAGCCTAAAGGGAGTAGAAAGGTGGCTTAAATGAACAGAAGGATAGCTAAAAGGAGCAGAATAATAGCTGAAATGAGCAAAATGATATCTAAAAGGAACAAAACGATAGCTCAGAGGAAATGATAGCTAAAATTAACTAAAGCATAGCTATAATGAGCAAAATTATAGCTAAAAGTGACAGGTTTGGGTTTTGGATTCAAATAAGCCAGACACAGGAGTACAAAAAAACTGTTTTATTTATTTGGCTGCTGGATGGAGGAGTAAGGATCAGCAGTGTTAACAGGTCATCACAGGCTGGAGGGAAAGAGTCACCTCAGCATGGCAGTGATGATGTCACTGACAGAGTAGCTGCGATATTTGGTTCGTGTGGGGGCAAGTCCAAGAGCAATATCCAGAAAACTAGTGATGGGTCCGGCAACACCAATGTGTCAGCACATGTGTCAAGCTCATAGAGCAAAACCCGTGTTGGTGCGCGTATCGCTATTAGAAATTCACGTGACCGATACTGGAGCTGTTTCGAACTGACACAGATGCGTCAAACTGTTTATAAAGAACCGTATCTGTCAACGGGATGCATCTGCCAAAGGAATCTTTGATCTTTTCCAGTCATCATTGTAGTGTGTCAAGGTCAGCTTAGCTGTACCCTCACTGCAATTATATTTAAATAATGAGTTCTCTCTTTTTCGAGCTAATTACAGCCATGTGACAGAAGTAACTGTGCGTAGATGGTTTAATCAGTGACATGAGACGTTAATTTTCTTTGACCCATCAAAATAAATGTGGTCATTTATTGAACAGAATCAAAATTTAACATCAAAACATTGTACACTTGATTAGTTGATCTGGTTCTGATTAATAAAACTTGGCACGTTCTACTTAATAAAAACAACAGACATTTCTGAAGGCATCTAGATTAATTACTGGCAAGATAGAAGTTTAAAGATGGGAAAAATGGAGGAGTTGAAAGGGAGAGTTTGAAGGAAGATGTATAAAGGAAATGTCTGTTCGGACCAGGATGGCACGCTCCTTCCAATACCAGCTCACCTCCGGTACACTTCGCGTCACGACTCGTTACCTTTGCCGGGTACCTCTGCTCAGGAACAGGAGTCCATTTCAATGCGACCTTTCAGCGTCTCCGGTAAGGATGGCTGAGAATCGTCCGAAATCGTGTCACTTATCAGTTCAACAAACAGGCTCAGCTCCCTTCGAAGTTGTAGGGCATTTATGCCCAGGTGGACTCACAGCAAGCATCCGTGAGTCCTTTCAGAGTTTCCAATCAGAAGTGTAAAACTCCATGAAGACTGAGAACTGCAGAACTAGGAATAGTTCCAGGAAGTGTCGACTTTTAAAGAGTTCTGCTTCCGGTCACTTTAGTACGTCCTGATTGGTTGAAGAACCAACAGGGGGGTGGTTCTAGTGATGTCAGAGGGTCATTACAAGTCAAGAAAACAGCAGGAATGTTTTAGGAACAGACAGAGAAATGTTTTGGAGAAATGACAGACTTACAGGTGCCAGTTTTCTTATTTACTGTCTGAGAGTTTTAAAAAACATGACACTTCGTTCCAATAACTTCCCTTCTGACTTTCGACTGACGTCACTACTTCTCATTTCAGACAGAAGATCAAAAATGCATAATTACTTTGTAAAATAGACAATTAACTTGATTTCTAATTTAAATGAGGATTAAAAATCATTAATACTGTTTCAGAGTTGATTTAAAATGAGTGGTTCACTTCAATATTTAAAAATGGTATGAACTAAACACACTTTTGATTTATCAAGATATTGTAAAATAGTGATGATAATATAAAAGAAGAGTGTTCTTTCAATTGATTACTTCAGGATACAATTAGACAGTCTCTGGATGAGCTAATTTGTATTTTTGGATTTAAATCCATGGGGGAGTGGTGGCGCAGAGGTTAGAGAGGTGGGCCTGTGATCCGAAGATCGTCGGTTCACGCCCCGGCCCCGACAACATCAAAATTGTGGGTGGGGTGGGTGAAACACCCACACTTGCCCCCACCCTCATTTGCCCCACTCTGGGCCCATGAGCAAGGCCCTTAACCCCCACAATGTGCTCCCTAAACAGGTCTCTCTTGAAAATGAGTTCTCGTGGCTCAATGAGACTAACCTGGATAAATAAAGGCTAAATGAAAAAATAAAAATAAAAAAATCAATGAAATAACAGTACCTGTCCCATGAAGGTCTTCAGAGGCAGGTTTTGGTCGGAGGCCTAGTCCACTACATAATTAAATTCATCAAGAATTATGGAGCAGCCTCAAACCAAAAGAAAAGTTTCTGTTGTGTGGGACCATTTTGATCTCATATCAGAAAATAAGCTATTTGTTTTGGTTTCCTTGTTGTTTCATCCTGTTCCTCTCAGAGTTTCCACTTGATCTATCTGAATTCAAATTCATTTCAAAGTCATTCTTTGCAGGTGAAATGTCGCAATTCGACAGAGCTTTCGTATTTAAGTAAATCCACCTCCTCAATGTTGAGGCATGATACTCATTGCGTGGCTCCCAAGCCACATGCGGCTTGCCATGCTTTATTGGTGGCTTTCGTGACAGGTTACAACAGTGGTCCTCAACCCCCAGGCCATGGACCGGTTGGTCAATGGGTACCGAGGCTGCACAGAAGGGGAAAAAAGTTTTATTTTGAAAAATCACTGGATTCTCTCTACCACATAAGTCTATGACTCATCCTAGACGCAGATCAACATACACAAGTGGTTAGTTTCAGTTTCTGCTAGGCGCATGCACAGATCAGTTCAATATTGCTGGTGAAGAACAAAGAAATTCAGCTATGTGATCTGGCGCAGACAGGTGAGGGTGAGCAGCCGTATCTGTGCATTTTGAAGGATTACGCTGTGTATTTTTCAACCCGCCTGACAAAGATTGGCTATAAAATTATAACTAAATAAAACTATAGTTTTAACAAGCTTCCTAATATCACATCAGAGCTGTCGCCTCACATTTTTGCCTCAGCTCAAAAAAATCTCTGCCCCTAAAAGTTCAAAGCCATGGGTAATTTTATTATAAAACACAAAACTATAATTGAACATTTTGCAATGGACATAAGTTTCTGTGCTTTTGTGAACAATCTGATGTACGAATCACTGCAGGAGTTATCTGAAGTTTCACCGACCTGATAAAACAGCCGATGATCTCAGCTTATGAAGTTGTTTGTCATGTAGTCAGAGTATCTGAAGCAAAAAATGTTTTAAATGTTTGTAAAATACACCAGAATGCAGTAAATGGCATCTACTTTATTCAAAATTCTGTTGGGGAGGACCCCCAGACCAGCCTAACCCTAACATCCTCCCCCCCCATTCCGTGAAAATATTGTCTGACATCAAACCATTCCGTGGCGCAATAAAGGTTGGGTGGGGACCACTGGGTTATAACACACCAGCACAGCCAATACATTGTTAAAATGTGCTGGATCCTTGTGCAATAATTGGGCATGTCTGCTCAGGCTTCTATGATGCGGTTTCGTGAATCATTAATCAAAGAAAACTAAATAAGAATGCACAATATAAAGTTGTGTTAATCTACTTGTTGAGGAGGAAGCAGGTCTGACCGGCCGGTAGAGGTAAACTAAAATTCCTGTTAAGCTTAAGATGGATCAGCTCATCACTGGCCGTGGCTCCGTCCACGCGCATCCGCCGACCCGCTGGTCAAAAGACTTAAAAAATGTCCTGTTAACCTCAGATGGATCAGCTGATCATTACTGGCTGCGTGCATCTCTGCACCTTCTGTCATCAGTGGTGAAGGAACTAGGAGCATCACAGGGCTGGTTCCAGTCATGGTTACATGAGGGGGCAGGCGGAAATGTGAAGGGGGCATCTTCATCCGTACACATATTACAGCATACTCATTGTTGAGCATGGACTTTGGTATTCATTAATACTGTTGACTTGTATTTTCTTCATGGGATTGAGGTAATAGCTAAAATCTGATTTTTTTTACACCTCTGAGTCAACATTTTCAACCATGAAAACTATCAAGCAAAAACAGATATCGACAGACCCATGTCCATCTTGAATGCCTCACTATGGTTGTAACAACAAACTACAAATACAACATTAAAGCTGCAAGCAGCATTGGAGGCCCTTGCAGCAAAGTGCCGCTCCGGCCTTCTGGCGACCGCAGGAGGTCCAGCTAGTCTAATCAGTTGCCATTGCGAATGCTCTCGTGCCAATCCTACATGTGTTCACCACGGGGCGCATTTCCTGAATCTTTGACATCGCTTTCCGTCCATGTCAGTACTTGTCCAGCTGCAGGTCCTACAATTATAGGCAAAATCCGACCTTTCACACAGGAGTTATTGTGACTTGCTGTTTTGTGGCAAATGTTTGATTTTATGCTATTCATCATGTCATGTGTGGTAATCAACAGTTAGTGAACAAAGTTTCAGT